TGACCACCATAAAACTTCTATTTAATATAGAATTAAAAGAAAATATTGAGGTTTTATGAGACAAAATAAAGTCTTTGGAAGTTTCAAAATATTGTTCTAAATGACCTCATAAATTGGTCAAATGAAATATTTAATAAAATATTATTTTTATTAAAAAACCCAACAAAATATATATATATATATATATATTTTAAAATATATATATATATATATATATATATATATATATTTTAAAACGCAGTTTTAACAACTTTCGAATTATTTTTAAAAAATTCCCAAAAAAAAACCAGTAATTTGGATATATATGTTCAGTTCGATTTCCACCGCTCAGAAGAACACACAGAAAAAGAGAGTGCAGAGAACATAGGTCCAGTGAGAAATTAATGTATATTAAGCTGCCAACAAAGTAAGTTTCCCTCGTGGCAAGACATGGTTGCTGTCGGAAAAAAACGACAAGTATCCGAAATAGATCTACGTCGTATTGTTTTTCTCGGTCTCGAAAGGTTGTCCTTTCGTAAAATTAGCTTTCTTGTCCCGATTCATGCATGCATGCATTTCGTCGATTTCTAAACGTACAATTAATTAATAATAAATCTTCGTCGCCGTAGTCGGTCGTGACCATGCATCTTCTCGATTATCTGCAGTTAATTAAAATGAAGATTTGGATTTCAGTGAAAATTTGGCAGCAATTTTCTGACTCGTTTTAGCTGTCAATTAAATATTGGCGCCCCGAGATCGAGGCAGGATTATTGGGTGCATGAAGCCGGCGCGGCCTAAAAAGAAAAAAAAAAAAAAAAGGAGGTAATTCATTTTTTTATTATTTCTACTTATTTATTTATTTATTAAAAAAAAAAGACGTTTTTATCTAGGGGTGGTTTCGGTCCGATTACTGAATATTTAGCTCAAAAATATATATGATATGCCTAATTGGGTTGCCAACCCAATTGGCCTACAATTTCTTTATCAAATGGGCCACGAACCCAATATTTAAGACCACTATCACCGAGGCCCAATCACCTTCAAGTAAGGTTTGGGCCCGACAATCTCAACTAAGTTATAAATAAAGGTGTGAACTCAATCCTTAAGGTACGCCCTATTATCCAAATAATACTAGGGGTCATATTCTCCCGACTATTTCTACTATCCGCACGTCTGACTTGAGCGTCGGAGGGGTTTCCACCGGATCAACCCCGGCCTAGTTCACGTGTTCTTTGTTCGCAGGTATCTTAGGGCCATCTAGCACGTGAGCAGTGACCCACTTTGCTTTCCCAGCTCCCTCAATCTCAACTATCTAAGGTGATCTATTTTTAGCATCATCATTTTGGCGCCGTCTGTGGGAAGGTAGACATAATCACGTAGCGCGCATGATGGCCTTGAGACATTGGCTCAGGGGGAGTGTGACTGCTAACGACCTCCCACCTTGTGGAGGCTCTGGCTTGCAACTTCCTCCACCTCGTGCTCGGAATTCACCACGAGACCTGCTTCGGAGGTCCTACTAGATCCTCAACAGGATTCACTTCTTCCCGCCCCTCAATCGGTTCAGACAACCGAGGAGGCCCTTCAACGCTCGCCAAGGGTTATCGACTCCCTAGGGGCCTACCTCTGCCCCCAAAATAGTTCGTTTGCCAAGGGTTATCGACTCCCTGGGAGTCATCCCAAGGGTACGTGATCGCCTCATCCTAAGTTGGGGGTTATCCCACCCCAAGGTTGGGCATCCCACCCCAAGGGTACGTGATCGCCTCTTCCTAAGTTGGGGGTTATCTCAATCCAAGGTTGGCATCTCATCCCAAGGGTACGTGATCGCCTCTTCCTAAGTTGGGGGTTATCCCAATCCAAGGTTGGGCATCTCATCCCAAGGGTACGTGATCGCCTCTTCCTAAGTTGGGGTTATCCCAATCCAAGGTTGGGCATCTCATCCCAAGGGTACGTGATCGCCTCTTCCTAAGTTGGGGTTATCCCAATCCAAGGTTGGGCATCTCATCCCAAGGGTACGTGATCGTCTCATCCTAAGTTGGGGGTTATCCTACCACAAATTGGGCATCTCATCCCAATGGTTGAACATCACCCTTACTTTTCAACCCCTAGCGGGTTCACATCCCACATCTCCATCCAGATTTACATCACTCTCGGATCCCTCTGATTCTTCACTATCACTCCTAAAATCTACAAATTGGGATCTAAGACGTCTCTACTAGTACCAACATCACCAATAATATTGGTAATTCCATTATTCGATGCCAAATTATGATCTGGAGAAGAAAAAAGTTGACGCTCCGCGAAAACGGGCGAAAAAGGGCCGATAACGTGCCCCGACGCGCGAATCAGCCCCACCCTACCTACCCTACCCCTCCCTTTTCTCTCTCATCATTAATCACCCTCCCATCACCTCTCTCCTCATTAATTATATATGCCATCACTTCTCTCCTCATTAAATAATGTGTCATCACACTCTCTCTCTCTCCGCATTAAATGCACCTACAAAGCGCGCGCGACCCCATGCGCGCGTTCCCCAATGCGCGCGCGTGCACGTGCTTCCAAGCGCGCCGCCTTTTACTTTGGAGCGCGCGCAACTCTCGCTATTCTCTACCCAATTACGCGCGGATTTCACCTCGCTTCACCAAATCGCGCGAGAATTTCAACGCGCTCCACCAAATTGTGCGAGCTCTCCAGCGCATCTCACCATATCGTGCACGCTCTAACACGGATAAATAAATAATTATTATTTCTCCACACCACGCCAGCAATTAGCGGTAAACCACAACACCGATCTACTCTCGACACGATTCGGTACCCTTCTCGACTTATCTCCCACATCGAATCGAAAGTGGGGGGCTTGCGAGACAACTCCCACGAGGAGCCAACTAGCTCGGTCCTACAACCCGTTGCGAGGCAACTCCCACGAGGAGCCAACTCCCTCGGCACTACAACCCGCAGCGAGACAACTCCCACGAGGAGCCAACTCGTTCGGCACCACAAATCCAACCTTAGAAACACTTAGAGATATTATGAGAATCTGTATAGCCTGGCCAGCTTGATTACTCAAATTTCTCTACTTGTTTTCGACAGGTCGTTTATTAAAACGTGGCCACGGTCCAAACATACGTACGACCCACGAGGTCTAACAAGGGGCACGATCCCCATATAAAAAAAACAAATCTTGAGAGCCTGATCCACTCATCAAGTACATCACGCACAAGGCTATATGTAAACACATATAAGCAATGCGTCAAACCATTGACAACGTCAATATATAAACAACTCCCACGAGGAGATAGCAACGCGGGACTTTTATTGAAATTGGCTTATTTGCAGCGGTACTTTCATTTCAACTTTTTTTTCAACTTTCTAAAAACCTCGAAACGCTCTCAACTAAAAAAAGTCGAAAAAAAAAAGAATTTCGTGTTTGTTTGATAAATCGACTTACCGACGATAACAAATAACATAATGGCCGATTCAGTTGACTTCTACGAGATAAAATTGAAGAAATTAGTGAAATTTCTATTTTTTTGCGGTATTTTCGTGTTGTGCAGCACGAGAACCCAATTTTTTGGGTTTCCCGTGCTACACGGAACGGAAAAATCAAAAAAAAAAAAAAAAAAAAAACAAAACAAAACTAAGAACAATCGTGCTGTGAGGAACGGGAACACCAAGTTCCCGTGCCCCTGGAAGACGGAAATATGAGTTTCCCGTGGCCTAGAGGACGGGAACCATGAAAAAAATTCGAAAAAACTAATCCTAACATGCGTTTTTATCGAGATTGGAAATAAAACTTATTAAAAGTAGTAGGATATTAAAAATTTACTGGAATCGAGCCTTGTTTGCTACGGTTTCAAAGTCGAAAAAATTTACGAAATTCAAATTTTACTAGAGAGAGTTTGGGGATATGAGAGAGAAAGTCAAAAAAAAAATTAAATGAAAAAGGTACCGCTGCAAATAAAGTCCCGCTGCAAATAGTAACACCTTTAATTATCTTTATTATTATTTATTTAATTAATTAATTAATTTTCATATCACAACTCCAAAAATAGAGATAGAGGTGAAGATTTGGAATTCAGCTAAATATCTGACTCATTTTAGCTGTCACTTTCGCCACAAGACAATGCTCCGGGAAATGAAAACATGAGGGCAAAAAAGTAAATTATTAATAAGGTGGTATTTATTATGATTTCATTATAATTAGGCACTACTAGATGTTTAATTTGAAGCTTATTTTCAAAAAATAAATTATTTTGGGTAAAGAATTAGAAATTAAAATTATTTTTTCTTAACACTTTGGTGTTATAAGAGATATATTTAAATTAGTTTAATTTTATTGTGATCTGACTTTTTTTTTGTTTGATTTGCTCGAATTTTTCGATTGCAATCAACTGTTTGCATGCATGACTATGCGCTTATATTGTGTTTGAAAATTTCGAACAATTAAAGCCCGTTAAGTCGGTAACTATTAACTTTTGAATTTTAACATGTTAATCGTACAAATTTTGATTAGTATTATTCTTCATTATTAATATTATTTAATTCCTCATAAATATTTTCATAAATTTAATATTATATATGAATCTCTTCGTTTATTTGAATTGACATAAAAATAGTAATCATGACACAAAAATTATTGCATTATTTTTTCCAATCCAATTGAAGGCTGAAATAAATTATGGACTTATGGCCGGTAATTACTCTTACAAAATTAATTCACCATAAATTTACTAAGGCCCATTATCCGTTCGGGCCCAGAAGCCCAACGTCAACGGTCATAACTCATTATTCATTATTAATATTAATTAATTGGAAAAAGAACAGAATATTTCAAATTCAAAAGGAAAACACGTGACAAGCACGTGACACCTCAACGGCTTTTTCATCCGACGGTTCAGATTGGGTTTTGCATCTGACGGCTCCGATCTTCGCGTTCGCTTAAAGCTACTTGATTTAGCACAAATTCAAAACAACAAAACCTACGCTATGTTTTCTATTTTATTTAGGGCTTCAAATATAAATACACATACAACACACACAATCGCAATATCCTCACCCCTCTCTCTCTCTCTCTCTCTAAATTCTCTGCCTTCTTTCTCTCTCTAAAAGAGCAGCCGCAAACCACATGGTAAGCCTTCTTTCTCTCTGTCTCTGTATCTTTCCAATCAGATTGATTTTAAGATTTGTATGGTGTTTATGTGATTTAATCGGAATTTGATGTTTTTTTTTTGGATTATTAGGCATTGCCGAATCAGCAGACTGTGGATTACCCAAGCTTCAAGCTTGTAATTGTTGGAGATGGTGGCACTGGTAATTTCCTTATCGAATTTTTATTTGCTTCTGAAATCTCGTTTAGATGCGCTCTTTTTTTTTTTTTTTGGTTAAAAATTCGGCATGTTCGTAGTATAATTGTTTGCTGATTTGATGATCCGTAGTGTTTTTTATTTATTTTGGTATGTATCTATAGTTTTGCTGTGTTTTATGGATTGAGATTGCGCTAAGACGCACTTATTTTTATGTTAGGGTTTAGGGTTTATTATAATTCTCGAAATAGGTTTTATTTCGAGATTTGGATTCAGGAAGTCAATAAAATTCTGCATGAATATGATTTTTTTTTTTTATGTGATTGGAAAATAATGAAGAAAAGAATTGATTGATTTTTCTCTATAATTTATGTGCATTGTGGCTTATAAAACTTGTTTGTATGTTGCAGGTAAAACCACCTTTGTGAAAAGGCATCTTACTGGTGAATTCGAGAAGAAATACGAGCGTAAGATTGGCAGCCCTGAACCTATCTTTAATTATGTGCATAAAGATTTAGGTTTCATGGTTGTATGATTTTTCTAACAAATAAAATTTGTTTCCAACAGCTACAATTGGAGTGGAAGTTCATCCATTGGATTTCTTCACTAACTGCGGGAAAATCAGATTTTATTGCTGGGACACTGCTGGTCAGGAGAAATTTGGCGGCCTTAGGGATGGTTACTAGTAAGTTAATTGCATTAGCTCCCATATTATTATAATTCTAAATTTCGTGATCTACTGATCTGCTCCAAGAGTGTTGTTTGCCGAGGTCTTAAATCAGCTCACTTTTCTCGGACTAATGTTTTACAATATACTTTTATTGTGTTTTGCTTCTTTCAATCTGAATTGTTGGGAATGTAAAGTTATTTGATGTATTTTGGTTCTGTTTGGAATCTCGATATTTACACTTCAGCAAGTAAATACTATTTAATGTGTATGTTCTTTGAAGATTTTTTCTCGTCTTATTAACATGAAACTGATTTGATTTGAATTGTTTCAGCATCCATGGACAATGTGCCATTATAATGTTCGATGTCACAGCTCGATTGACATACAAGAATGTTCCGACATGGCATCGTGATCTATGCAGGTATGCATTAAAACATCCATCTTGCACTTTCTTGCAGTGCTTGGATCTGAGATTCACATATAACATGTATGTTGTTTTTACCGCTCGTTTTCAGGGTCTGTGAGAATATTCCGATTGTGCTCTGTGGGAACAAGGTTGATGTCAAGAACAGGCAGGTGAAAGCAAAGCAGGTCACTTTCCACAGGAAGAAGAATTTGCAGTACTATGAAATATCGGCAAAGAGTAATTACAACTTTGAGAAGCCTTTCCTGTACCTCGCCAGGAAACTTGCTGGGTATGTAGAGAAAGCTAATTGAATTCTCCCAACTTTTTTGGTTATAAGTCTCTTTTGATCTTATTGGTTCCCAAATCGACCTAATCTGTATGTATATATTTTAACTTAGTGTTTTCTTGGTGCAGCGATGCTAACTTGCATTTTGTCGAGTCTCCTGCTCTCGCTCCTCCAGAAGTGCAAATTGATATGGCTGCACAGCAATTGTAAATCTCTCCTCCCTCCCTCTCTCTCTCTCTCTCACACACACAGACACATACACACATACGCAGCTGTTTTTGTACGCATCCTGTGTATTATATAGATGTTAAACTCACATTTCCGATTTAATTTTGTAGGCATGAACAAGAGCTTGCTCAAGCTGCTAGCCAGCCTCTTCCAGATGATGATGATGATGCATTCGACTAAGAACACAGACTGATAATGTGATTATTGGTCTCGGGTTTTTCTTGATTGGGATTCACATGGATTTTGTTTTGAAATCCTTTTTAGTTTTGAGATGATGAATACATGTGGCTGCTTTACTTTCTTATTGAATTATTACTTGTGGCTTGTATTTTGTTTGCTCATGGGAAGATGTTTTTAATCTTCAGAATGTTAAAGAATTATTTCTGCTATAATCAATTCTTATATACTTCTGATTGTTTTTGTTAAAATGTCTGATGTTATGCAATGTAGTAGTATTATCTAATTCAAACATATTTAAATATATTACATAAATCAAAGAGAGGTTTTCAAAAATGCTTGAAACATGAAAATGATTGTTTAGAAATGATGAAATTCTTTCTACCCAATAAAAATACAAAAGTTATCAGTTAATTTATTGATACAAATATTGTTTCAATTTTTGAAACTTCTCTATCTACAGTTTGAAAAGTCCGTAGTTTCGCACCTAAACAGGCATAAAATAGCATGTTTCACACCCAAAACGGGAGCGGGAGCAGAAAAATATCCCAGCATGGTCGTGTGTTGTTTCACTTATGTTTTTTTTTTCCTTTTGTTTTTTAGTTAATGTTTTTTTTTTTCCTTTTGTTTTTTAGTTAATTAATGAATAAATAATAACATTGTTTTTATTTTTAAATGTTTAATTAATTAATTATTAATTGGTTAATAAATAAATAGATAATTATTGATTAATAGTTATGTAGTAATTACCTAATTGATTATAATAATTACAAAATTAAAAAACAAAAAAAAAAAAAAAAAAAAAAGAAACACAAATTGGCTCAACCTCGAGTTCTAAATAAATATCAACTCAAAGAGCTCGAGCTCGCCAAAACAGCTAGGCTCAACTCAT